ATCATCATATATAAACTTTATACTTCAAACTTCGTTTTCCTTCGGAGAACGGACAAGTCCTAGGAAGTTTTAACAAAACGTTCGGTCGAGGGCCTTTGACATCTGCAAATGGTTTCTCTTATATTGTTGATCTCATTCTTCTGAAACACTAAAACAATCCCATGCGCTGTTACGGAAATCTTGCACAGTATGCTCGATCAGCGAGCACTACACCTAAATTACACATCATTTGGACGAGCACAAAAAACTCAACAAAGCCTGATATTGTTCAGATCCTAAAAGAAAATTTTACGCATCCGAAAAAATTAACTAAACTACCATGAGAACAAAAAAAGCAGCTAATTTTCCAGTAAAACAATTCTAATATTTCTGAAAATTGCTTTAAACACGATTTTCATTTATACAAAGTCATTCTTTATCATCAATAGGTCAAAGAAAGTTAAGGTCGTTTACGAATAGATAGGATACTAATAGTACACTGTACAGAACTTAGACTATTTTATATTCCATTCAATCATGCTGGACACTTGGTATTAAAAACTTCTATGAAGCAAACTGGGAGATTTGTCTAAGATAAAATAAAACATGTTCTTCATCTAATTCTCTAACCCCATGTAAAAAAGTCAAAAGTTTTGCACAAATTTTGAAAAATAACCATGCATAGTTAAATTTTATGCATAGTTTACCGGGCCTTATGTATAAAACAATCCTATGCGCGGTTATGCATAAAGCTTTTTTATCCATAGAGAAACCATCCAATGCATAGCCCATGACTTTCCGTTGCCAAAATACGTCCAGTACTATGCATGAGCGTTCCTTTACCGGCTAACGCGTCCAATAGAGTTGCCGAGTCAACTATCCAATTCTTTCTAGGACCATCGAATTTTGCAACTGGGAGTGCGACAGGAGTATCATGTAAGTCGAATGGAAATGGTGAACTTCCAACGTTCATGTCTTTTTGTTTTGTTAAAGCGCGCCAGCAAACCAGCAATTCCAATGGATTAAGCCCGACGATTTCAGCATCTACAGCGACAGGTATGTATGCGTCACAAATAGATGTTTCTATGCTATACCCATGAAGGTAATTTTAGTTGAAAACCTGCGATATATCGAGATATTATCCTAAATATGCTGAAATATAGCGATAATGAGCAACTCCGTCATATAAAAATTATTTTTTATTCGCGATATAAAAATTATTGCAGTTTATCGCAGTCTTTCGGTAAAACGCAGTAGTCGAAACTGTCGCGGTACACTAGTTACTTAGCGTTGTAAATACTTGTATGCCAATAAACCGCGATAAATATATATCGGACTTTCTCCTAATAAAAGTATTATCGTAATATATGTGCTCTTTATATTTGAAAACAGAAGTATCGCGATAAACTCCAATAGATTTGTATCGAGTATTATCGTGATAAAAGGGTCATCTCGACAAGAAGCTAAAAGTATCGCGATTAAATTTTTATCCTAATGAATGAGGAGATTAATTTTCCCCTGTTTTATCTCGATATGAAAAAACATAGCGATAACTATTACGATTGCTGAAGATAACAGATTCATCGCGACAATTTCCGAGAAAAGTTATCGTGTTTTTTTCTGTTGGGTTTGGAACCAAAAGGCTCTTTATTGTCATATAAAAATATCACGATTGAGTGTCTAGTTATAATATTTGTGCTTTTTTCGATGATCATGTATATATGGTGTTTCGATATGTTTCCTCTTTGCCAGAGATTCTTTTTCTCTCTTTTTGAACAAGAGAGTTTCTGCTGCAGTGTGAATTGGCGGTATACTTCATTTCTCTTCGAATTTGTTTTCTCGCTAGTTATTGATTGAACATTACTTATTATGCAGAGAGAAAATATAAACGTAATTCCGTTTGTATGCGGTTAGTACTTAAGAATCCTACCTTGTGAGAAGACCGGTAAAAGTAGGTTTCTGTATACTGTTGTGCTGAAATCCAACGCATAGCTACTGTCCATTTCAAAATAAAAGACACTTGGCCGCATTCTTAATAACTTTTTACAGGAACATGATAGCGATCTGCGATTTTCAGTTTCTGGAAGTAAAATTTCGGGGCTATTAGAAAATGCGAAAAAACCGCAGATCGCTATCATGTTCCTGTAAACAGTTATTAAGAATGCGGTCAAGTGTCTTTTATTTTGAAATGGATAGTAATTATCTAAACATCTAGAAACGGTTTAAAAATAGTAAAAGATATTGATCTATAGAGACTTGATAGAAGTACAGCAATTATCAATGGGTCACAATTTTTATATAAAAGTACAAACGTATCGTCGACATTTCTACACCAAAACTTCACACCGCTACTTTTCAGAGACGGTAAATGTTTGTCCTCAAAATCCGAAATAAACAATTCAGCCATCAAAGGTGCTATAGCAGTAGCTATGAAACTACATCTATTTGATCCTATAGTTTTCCTCTGAAGTAGAAATGTGTTTTTTGTTACGAAAACTAGCAGCTTTTTGAAATCTAGTTTTTCCATTGATGGTTTCCTGTTTAATTAGTACATTTTATCAATAACAATTTGAATAGTTCGTCTAAAGGTACATTTGTATACAGATCAAACAAAACCATTACATTATCAGCCGACAGATATCGATTATTTGGGAATTTTTTGACAAAATCAGAAGTACCCTGCATAGTACTGGAGCTCTTTGGTAAAACCGATAGGTTACTAACTAATCCCCTCCCTAAGTCATAGTTGAAAGTGCCTATGACAGACAAAACAGGTCTTAATACTACCTCTGTTTTATAAATCTTTGGTAATCCATATATGGATTACATAGAGCCTGGATTAGAACTTACTGATCTTGCCATATTATACGTGGATTCACTGATATGACCTTATTTATAAAGCTAAGTAGTTTGTTAATTTTTTATTACTTTCCTTCGTATGTTTTTGTATTGTTTGTTAAACGTTTCGGTACTAATAAGCACCTTCTTCAGTAGCAGTTTAAAAAAAAGATAATGCACAAATCTAAAACTAAAGTTAAATCGAAAAATATATGAAACAACGGAAAATATAAAATTGTAAAAATAGGGTGAAAACCGAACATCATCCAAATTTTACGTCACTGCATAGTTTTTCCTTGTTTGACTTCTCAAATTATATGCTTTATTTACTGTTCTCATGACTATATTGTTGTTATTATTCAGTATAACATCCTTTCCTTTATCCTTTTCTGCTGTTCTATATCTTACTCCTAATTTTTCTTTTACCCATTTATGAATCGTTGAATTCCATTGACTAGAAATATGCATCCTATTATTATATGATTTATTCACCAATGAATATATCGATTCTAACCTATCTTTCTAACGAAAACGTTTTGCTCATGATCAACGATCACACTATCATCGAATTTAATGTTGTGTTTACTACATAGACTCCAATGTTTAGCTATTTCTGATTTATCTGTTTTTGTATTCTTTTAACACAATTTATATGTTGTTTTATTCCTCTATCAAACATTCACTTTTTCCTACATATATGTCTTCGCAGTCGCAATATATGCCATAGATGGCATTATTGCCTGATATATTTTTATTCGTATCTTTATTACAATTATCTCCACACGCAATTTGTCTACTTTTATTTAAGATTACACCTATATTACATGTATGTTTTGTAAATGTTCTAACTCCTTCTGCTTTTAAACTCTGTTTTATTTTCTCCATTACACCTACTAAGTATGAAATTACAATTGTTTCTTTAAGATCACGTTTCGCTTCTTCGTTTTTCTTCTTCTTCTCAGAACATTTTTCAATGGTTTTGATGGCGTTTTTTGGATAATTACTATTGATTATAATATTAGATAATTCCTCAATATCATCTTTGCTTTTCTCATAATTATTAGCTATTAAAACGCGACTCATCATATGTTGAACAATGTTTTTTTTGATAGATTCATTATGATATCATTTAAAATACAAAACTGTTTTTTCCTGCTGTTGGTTTTCTATACCAACTTGTTTCTATTTTATTATCGATTTTATTTACTTTAATTAGCACATCTAAAAATGGTAATTTTGAATTTACCTCGAATTCTGTTGTAAATTGTATGTTTTCGTCAACTGTATTTAACTTTTTTACTAAACGTTTTCCGTTAGTTTAGATACCACTATTAAATCATCAACGTACCGACTCAGCATAGAGACTGGAAACTCTTGATGATTCCAGTTTTTATCGATATAGTAATTCATTACAAGGTCTGCCAATAAGAGTGAAAGTGAACAACCCATTGATAGCCCTTTATTTTGTTTATAAATTTTATTATCAAACCTAAATATAACATTATCGATACTAAATTTTACTAAGCTTAAAATATCTTCTTTTGTTAGATTAGTATGTGCTCTCCAACAATTATCGTTTTCTAGAGTTTTTTCTAACACATTTATAGCTAAATCTTTATCCACAGATATAAAAAGATCAATAACATCTAAACTCGCCAATATTGTCTTACCACTCACTTTAACTTTATGAATTTTATTTACGAAGTGCTTTGTGTTCTTTATTGGTCTAGCTTTTTCACCAATCTTTTTTAAAATAGCACTTACATGTTTCGCTAAATCTGATCCTAATGTGTTTCTCATCGATACTATCACTCTTACTTAGGCATGCACCGATTAATAATCGACGTTGGGGCATTCAGGAAAATCTTTCTCACTTGGTTATAGTAAATCTCTCAGAATTGCGGGATGTCTCATTTTGTAGAAAAAGGTTAATTCTACAAAAGTAAAGTGTTAAAAAACTTTTAATGTTATTTATGACAGAAATATAAGTATTCAAAAATGTACAAAATCGCAAAAAGATAATCGATCTTTGATTATTTTTTGAATAAACCCTTTTTGAATAAACCTTTCTCTACAAAATGAGACATCCCGCAATTCTGAGAGATTTACTATAACCAAGTGAGAAAGATTTTCCTGAATGCCCCAACGTCGATTATTAATCGATGCATGCCTACTCTTAATGGCTATCCTTGTTTATGAGCTTTAACTTGTCCCTTAACTATCGGTAAATGTTTATGTTTTAGAAATTTTTGAATCATTTGTGTTTCTAAAACTCCTTTTTCTTCTAAGCTTTTTAACTGTGCTCTTAAATCTTTATATATCCTTTCACTTGGAGCTAATTTTAATAAGTGATATGTATCTGAATGTAATTTCTCATGAATCTTATTTTTATATTATTCGATATCTAGCACTACAATTTTACCTCCTTTGTCCGCTGGTACTACTATAATTTGTTTATCTTCTTTTAAACTTCTTAATGTTTCGAATTGTTTTTTGTTTAAGTTTTTCTCTTTCTGGTTCTTTCTTATCGCTTTTGGTAAATTTTTGTCAACAGCGCTTCTAACTCGACTAATTATTTGTTCTTTTTGTATGATGTTCGTTTTGTACAAAGCAGATTCCACATTCCCAATAACATGAGCTACATACTTTGAGGGATTAATTTTTGGTGTAGGTACAAAATTTAAACCTAAACTTAATACGTCCTTTTCTTGTTCTGATAGCTTCCTCCTCGTTAAGTCTACTACCTTCTCTTCTTGCCACTTTTGCTTCTGTATAAATATTTTCATTGTTCCTTTTATTGTGTTTTCGTTTTTCATTTAATAAATTTAAGTATTTATTGAATAATGTTTGTTTTCATTCGAAAGTTGCGAATGTTATTTTGAATTTTGTGACACCACATTGGTAACATTTCATGATTTCATTTAACACTTTCAACTTATTTTCAATGTTACTTAATTGATGTTCGATGTTTTCCATCATTGCATAGTTATTTCGAATTGTGTTATTTATAAGTTTGTTACTTGTTTCATTACATACATTCATCCCGCCTTTTCCATGAAATCCTGATGACTTAATCCTAAAACCCTTTGGTATTAAACTTTCGACTTTGCATTTCTTCAAAAACTTTGTTTGCTCATTTAATTTGACTAATTTGTACACAAAATTCCTTTTTATTCCAAATAGCTTACAATGCAAGTATTTTGTGTTCTCGATAGTTTTGGTTTGAGCTATACTTGGTGTACGAAGTTGATTTGCTAAGTAGTTTGTTAATTTTTTATTACTTTCCTTCGTATGTTTTTTATTGTTTCCTAAGCGTTTCGGTACTAATAAGTACCTTCTTCAGTAGCAGTTTAAAAAACGACAATGTACAAATCATTATTTATAAAGCCAGCACAGTCAATTAATTAGGTTATTTTCACGTGCAATCGTTGGATAAGTACATAATGGTTGGAACTTTGTACGATTATTGAGTATTCGAAACATTTTATCATCATAATCCGTTCTGTTGATGATTACAATACCTCTACCTTTATCAGCCATGTGATTACGATCAATTTATCTTGACGTAGAGATCTGAGTACATTCCTATCCATCTCAATCTGTTTTCTAGATGTTTCCTAACCGTTTAGCATTCCAACGATATGAATCTGTTATAGCACGGAATAGAGACGCGAAATTTAGTTCTGATGGATTAGAATGTGAATATTCTTATCTGTAACTGTAATTG